CAGTAGAAAGCTCAGGCAGGATGCAACTACTGGATTGGAGGAATATAATCAAAAGACATGGCAGAAGTCATGGAGGTTCCTGTCATACTGATTCTGGATCTCAGTGGCCTAGTGAGCGATGAAGTCTTCAGCCTGCCCCTGGGACTGACGGTTGGTGGACAGGGCACACAGTTGGACCCACACACCCAGGACTTTTTTCCATTTAGCTCTGCAGGTTTTCACCAGTTGACTGGCATGTTTGTGATGCAGTGGGGATAGAGATGTAAATAATTTCAGACTTGGTCCATCAGCTCGTCTTACAACCTTTGCACCATTGTCGTCCCTGTTGCTGTGTTGACTGTCACATCCCCTCTGCCTCTACACTGCCTCTATCATTGATGTGCATGCTGCACCTCACATCCATGTCACTTTAATTTTTAAAGACGCGCATGGCTGATGCATTAAACCCACCTTTGAGACACATGATGGCCTTCACATGTTTCTGTAGAAGTACTGTACCTGCTGAACAGAAATACCTGAAGGAACAGGTAATGATAAAAATATATGACTTTAATGTAAATTGACCAAAATACTGGATACAGGCTCTGGTAAGCTGATCCAGCAGAGAAAATAAAATTTTTCACGACCAACCTTGTCTAATATTGTTTGGAGATAATTGTGTTTTTTTCTGAGTAAAAACCTGCACATCTTGTTACATTCTCCCCCTTTTCAAAACCGTCCTCTAATCAAGAACTTTGAGGCTACATAAACATCTAGAAAGGCATTGGAGTCGGTGTTTCTTCTCAGAGTACCAGCAGAATCAGAGTGAAGTGAAGCTGCTGGCTGTGTTGCAGTCTGGATAAACACTGAGCTTGTTTTCTCTACCTCACCTCATTTCACTTCATCAACACACGTCACTCCTCTGAAATGTCAACATGTTACACAAACACACACACACACACACACACACACACACAACTGTTGCCTGGCTCTCTCTCTCTCTCTCTCTCTCTCTCTCTCTCTCTCTCTCTCTCACACACACACACACACACCGTCAGGATATTTGGATTTTTAGTCCGACAGAAGAGCAGCTATTCAGACTCCCACTCTGAGGAAATAATGGTCACATTTTCTGCTCCCTGTTTTGTTCTGCTGAAGTCTATTTTAGGATTTTCTGCTCTGTTTTCTCTGCCCGACCCGCTCTCCTCTCCAGCTCGGTTCAGAGACATGCAGCAGGAATATTAAGCAAAAAGCGAAGTGAACTCCTTATTTAATTATTCTGTCATTCTCCATGAAAGGTCAGGGAGAATTAATTGGGGAGCAGCGTGCGTTGGATTAATTTAAATGTGCTCCTTTGTTTAGCTGAATAACTGTGTTCAGTGACCAGTCAAGGTTTTAGTCTGCAGGGCCTGTCTGAGCTCAATCTGATGAAAGGATCCTGCAGAGAAAAGCTCAGCTGACATGCCTTTTATGTCAGCTGACCGACATTTGTTCCCATTCCTCAGAAAATTATGTGTGGGTATGCATGGTTCCCTCTGCAAAAGCAGATGAAGGCCTCATTGTAAGGAAGTCATGTGGACAAGGTCAGTTTAGGAACCATTTAGCAGATTTGTCTTTTTACATATTTATGCAACTGTTCCTCGAGCATCTAAGAGAATATTACAAGATTTTCCAAGAGAAACCTCTACAGGACAGGTGTCTGGACAGTGTGCATGCTCTACAGGGAATCAAACGGGGCGCTCACACCAAGCACGAGTAAAATTATCTACTCGCTTAATTCGCGAGAATCTAGATGAGTAGTATTTACGTACCTCATTCGCATGTCAACGGTAATTTCAATGGTAATCCCTGCCAATTCAATTGACAGGATCAAGTGATAGACAAAGGTCTTTCACAACTTCTCAGGTAATCCAACCTGCTCACTCACTTGCCTCCAGGTGAGCTCCTTTTTATTCCGGTTTCAGTAATTGAAAGAACATGTATCTTATAATTCAGGGCACCCAAACACCAACATGATCAGTTTGTCCTCCATTTTAGATACCAGTAAAAAAATACATCACCCAGCAACATTTGTGCTGATTGGTCTTGCAGTCCAAAGTCCAGCTCTGCAAAAAGCTCCTTACCCTGCTAGCTGGACTATCAGCTCCACCACCTGACTCCTGCCATGCTTGGTGGTTAGATCAGTTCATTTACAGACTGACATCACTGAAGATGGGGTAGGTTTTGGGTTAGACTTGACCCCTAAAACGTGAACAAAACTTATACGTTTCATTTTGTCAGTGCTGTGCACTCCACAGCCAATCATGTTTTAGTCAATGTTTGTGTTCCTACAGTGAAGACAAGCTGCGCCAAGTCTTGGACACTGAGGGCTCTATTTTTGTGCCCGCCGGCGACGCGGGCTGAAAAAATAGTTGCATGGAAGCTCTGAAAAGTCACTCAATATAGCTACAAAGTTGCTAAGTCGGCAACACTGACTCAAAGTTGAAGGTTTTGTCTGCAGGGAAAAAGAGAACAAGGTAGAACATATATATAAACACTAAACACAAATAAGCCTGCAGAGTCCAAAATACTATGTTTAATCTTCAGTTCCCTTACAGCAGCAGCAAGTCAATAATTAGTAGTTTGAGCTTTAGTCTGCATAACTGTATCCCTGCAGAGATTTTTCCCATGAGCCTACTTTGCATGTTGATATTCAGTATTATACTTAGTATATCATATTGTATCGTATTGTAATAATATGCCTTTAAATGTTCTGTAGCTTTGCATTACGAGCAGTTACATCTGTTTGCTGATATTAAAAATATTCAGTTTTGGTAAAAAAAAAAAACAGGGTAAAAGGTCAGTTTCTTTTTTATGGAAAAATCAGTAAATGATTGTTAAATGATGATTGGCTCTGTAGTTGCGCAATTGAACCAACTCTGCGGACCATATTCAAACTTCTGTTGTTTGACCTTTGTATCCGTGTAGATTGAATCAGACCTGGTGGTTCTTCAGTTTACTGCTCCTCATCTCTACAATAACCCAGGCTGACCGCATCCAGACTCCTGTTTGGTTTTGCACTCAGAGAAAGGAGAAATAAATCCATCTGAACACCACGCTCTCAGACAGAAAGCGTGGTTCACAAAATGTTCAACTTTTCCTTCAAAGACAGACAGCAGAATAAAGAAGGAGTGGAAACATAACTAATGTAGATGCTTCACTGCAGGACAAGGTTTTATTGAACGCCTCAAAAAAAACCACGCACACACTGTTTCCCTCTCATACACTGGTGTAGAGCTTTTTAGAGCGAGCTCAATATGATGGAGTGGAGATGAAAAGCATAAGATGAGACCAACAGCATCATGCGGCTTTAAACTAAAAGCTTTTAAAGGCAGACGTTTATGCTCAGCCTGAAGGACTTCTGCAGCTTGAACACAAATTTATAATAATGCTCATAACTTCAGCCATCAAACTTTAATGAAATTATGCAGGCAAAGCAATTAACGGAGGTATTTTATCCATTTCCTCTTTAGTTTTTTGATTGTTTCATTACTTTGTGCTGTAAAGTTTTACGCAGAGAGCATTAAGAAGTCTAATTTCTGTAGCGGAGCGGTAAACTAAATCATTATCTCTGACATTTGCTGCTGCTGATTGAGATATCGCAGGTGGTTATGTTTCAGGTGTATGTGAGGGGAATTAATCACACTGTGGGGCAAGAACAGAAAGTGATTTACTCTTTGATAAAAGTGTCTGCATCTGTAGATTTCCAGACAAGTCTGCCTCCAAACTGCATAACATCAAAAGACGTCATGGGGGCAGGTCCTGGTTTGAAAAATACAAACTGAATTGAAAAAGGCAGTATTTCTTCTTCTATCAGCAAATAATAGGTGATGACCCTTTAAAGTGATGGTGAATGTGATTAACATTAATAAACTCTCGATTTCTCTTGATGTTGGCGACTCTGTGGATGAAGCGGCACCTTTTTAATCTTTGGCTGGTTTTGTCTTTGACATCACGAACAGGGTTTTCAGATGAGAAATCTCCTGCAAAGACTGCTTCTGCACCCTGCTGTTGATCAGCTTGTCTTCCACTATTATAGACATGAATACCAAAGTTATAGAAATAAACTATCTAATTGTTTACAGCCTGTGATGGATGATGTGTATCGAATTTTCACCTTGGTACTGTGTTTGTTGTGACTGAAGCGCCCTTCAGTAACACCAGTAGCAACTGAATTTGCAATTTGCAATTTGCAACTTACAGTGGTCATAAAGCATTTTGATTGTGTTGATACAGACTAATTCTCAGCAAACTTGTCTCAGTAAAGGATGAAATTTCTCAACATTCACAAGGAGCCACATGATCATCCTTCAAGTGCATGCAAGGCAACAGTGAGCCTCGTGAGAAAGCACACCTCTCAGCTCAAAGTGAGAACATAAAGTTGAAAAAGAAGACAAAACCTCTGGAGCTAAAAAAAAAAGTAACAAAGATATTTTCTTTCCAGTCTCAGTTGACAGTATGAGTTAGAACAAAACTGTAAATATGGAACACAAACATTTCTGTGTACTTTAGCAGATATGTTCCTCTTCAATTTAAACTTAACATCTTGGCTTCTTCGCTTCATACACTTTGACACGTTTCCATTAAATGTGCAGAAATTCAAACTCGTATGGCTTTGAGTTTGTTTTTCTGGCTGCTTCCTCCAACACACCGTTCAAAGTTACATCACACGTGTGCAGTACAAGTCTGCGGCGCCCATCTGCAGCACTCAGCACAGATGGTGAAAGGTGACAGTTTGGAGATTTTGACTCATATTCAAACTGAAAAGAAGAATCTTTGCTGGTAATCTCACATCATAGTGGGAGGAAAGAAAGCCTGGAGCAAGACCAGTGGGGGGGCGTTCTTCAGGATACGGCGCTCACACACTTAACCGCTGTGAGGAACCAGAGCGCCGCTTTATTTCAATACCCAGCATTCAATGCAGCCTTTCAGAGGAACTGAACATTCTATAGCTCCCATGCTTTTAGCTCCATGTAGCTGCAGGATAATTGCTCCAGTTATGTGCAATTAGCTGAATATAACTTTGCATCTCACTCCTATACCCAGTCATTATCCGCTTTGAATTCAGGCAGCTCCACTATGATAAACAGCGAGGTAGACGAACGCTCCCACAGCGCACGGATGGCTCGACCGCTCGGTAAGAATAATATCACTCTTCTGTTGGCGTAAAAAATGTCATCGATGATTTCTGGGTCTTTTTCTCTCTCTTCTTCTCTCTGCCAAGCCTGCTCAGATTGAAAAAGAGCTCTGATATTTTAAGCCTGTTAACCTATGAAATGATTGATCACCACATTTAAGTCTGTTTCATTTTTAATCACCGCTCCAATGATGTATTTAATGGGCCCGGACCCTGATGAAGATGCCTGTTAAATAAGGTGGGAGTCGGGGGAGAAGGAGGGGGAAGTCTATGAGCGGCACTTCCTCCCTCCACCCTCTCCTCTTCATCATTTCTCAGATATATGATTTCAGTAAAAAAAGAAAGCCTCACTCATGAATATTTTTGTATAACTAATGGATCAGTGACTGTGTGGAATATAAAAGCATTCAGTCAGATTGATGAATAGAAACGGCCTCCAATAGCCAGGTCCATTATTTCAGATTCCTTGAATCCTGTGCAGTTTATATTACCATTTTCTCCCTGCTCTTCATCTTCCTCTCAAACGTCGTCAGTCTCTGCTTCTCTTGGTGAATTACTGTCACTGGCAGAACAGCACGAAACCAGCAGACCCAAACTGAGTGAAGCATCCGCTGCTGCCAACTAAGGCCTGATATAACCTTTACGAACTGAGACCCAATCCCAGGGAAGCATGTGTCTGCAGAACACGCGGCTGCATATTCAGGACTGCAGTTTTAGGCCTTCAGTTCAAATGTTGTGTTAACACCAGCATGAATAACTCGCTAAATTCATGTGCTGTATTCGATACACACATGTATGCAGAGAACGGTTTTCTTCATGATATTTACCTCCGCCAAGGAGGTTATGTTTTCGGTAGCGTTGGTTTGTTTGCCTGTTAGCAACATTACGGAGAAAGTTACAGACGGATTGACCTGAAATTTTCACCAGTATATGGACTGTGCTTTCCAACTGCTGCTCCATCACTAAATCGCTCTATACTGCTGTGTTTTTTGTTTTTTTTTCTTTATCATGTGAAATATCACCATCTGGTCTAGTGTTTTTGTGTTGGTTTTTTTTAACTACTTCTACATTGTTGTGTGGGCAGGAGTTTTATTAAGAACAGAGGGAACAAAAAGTGTGTCCTTTTTTCTTGTGTGGACAAAGCGTCAACCTCAACGCAAACCTTTGAGCCTCTATTTGTAAAACATATCCAAGTGAGCACCCTGACAAAGGCAACAGCTCAAGGGTCCTAGAGTTGGGAACAGATAAATAGAAATTTTCATCAACAACCTTTTATTCCTGCCTGAAATAAGAGGATAACTAAATGAAAACGCATTAGAACAACATTTAGACAAAATCTACCTGCACTTCAGTTAATGACTAAGAACAAGAAGACGATGTTCAGCAGGACAAAATTCAATCAGCCCAAACCCAGATATGAGCAAGGGTGGAAGGAGCTAAGAGGAGATCTATTTAGGACTGTGCTCTGTTGCCAGTTTTTCAACAACAAGCTTAAAACTTCACTGACTTGAGCACAAAAGATAGACTCATTTATTGATAAAATGGAGAAACTCCATCTCTGGTGATAATGAATTTCAGTGGACCTCTTTGAGTTCAGTTGGCCCAGAACCAAACAGCAGACAGCCAAACACTGTTAGTGACCAGCTGGTAAATGTATCTGAACAGAGCGCACCTGAAGGGACAGATGTTTCCAAAAGGAGCTAAAAGAAACCTGACAACAGTTTAGAGATTGGCTAATATTGGACTTATTATCAACAAATGGATGGAAGCATGACTCCAGCTGATCTGCTGTCCCATGAGGCCAAAAACAGAATCATAATCACATGTTATGTCTTCACAGGAATTATTCAGTTTCAAACACCAGAATGTGTCTGATAAATCCTCTTTTTTATTATTAACTTCAGAAAAAAGTCAAAGAATCTTTTTGCTTGAATCTGTATTTAATGTTATAGTTTTTTATTTTTATTTTTTAGTATTTTTTTTTTTTTTCTCAAAGAAATAGTAAAGTTTTGAGTTATGGAGCAGCAGTATGTGGCTGTAGTTTAGCTTTTTCAGCATCAAACTCATTTAAATCATTTATTCAGATTGCTGTGTCTTCAGTGTTTGAAGGTTGAACTAAATTGAATGTGACCATGGCGAGCCTTTTAGGGATACGGCTCACAAAGAGCCAATAGTAGCAGAGGCGGATATTAAGACTCTGTCCTCCTCTCTCTCTCTCTCTCTCACACACACACACACACACACACACTCACAGAGAGAGAGAGTCCTTGGTGGATAAAGGGGAGAGGAGAACCTAATGGTGCATTGCAGGTGTGGTTTCAACAATCCATTTGTCAGGAGAGGCATTCAATTAGTGCAAGGAGCCACCGGACCAACATGACCGTCTGCTCGCCTTGTTCCTGTGCACGTTCACTCAGCATAATGTCTGTTTGCGCTCATGTTTCCATGTGTGAGGAGTGTTTGTGACTCTGTTGAGATATCCAGTTACATTTGCGTGGCTTAAGACTAAAAGTGACGCACTATTTTTCGTATATGTGTCCTTGGCATGTGACCTTCAGCAGGGTCTTTTAAAAAAAAGAATACAACAAACAACACCTAGGTAAGTTTACATTGAGGTCGGTTCATGCTGCTGGGTAATGGCAAAAATTATCACCATCATGATGTTCAATGAATATGAATGTTATTGCAATCACAATTATTCCTTGTCCTGCTTCTCTCCCTGCTCTCCTCTCTCTACTTACAGCCACATGATAGTTTGTATTTCTGAAGCACAACATGCTAAAAATTCAGTGGCCAATGGTTAAAGGTCCCATATTATACTCCTTTTCAGCAGGTTCACATTGGTCTCAGAGGTCCCAGAACAGTCCATTGGAAGTTTGTTCCCTAAAAACCCAGTTTTTTCCTGGACTTCAGCCAGCCTGAAAACTCTCGAGTGAGCTCTACCAAGAACATGCTGTTTCTGTGTGCTGCACCTGTCCACGCCTCCTCCAGTGCAAACCCCCCCAGTTACATCTCTGCTGTCTTCCTGTTACTTAAATGTGCAATATTGTACGTATAGTTATCCCTTGTAACTATGTTTTTGCAGTCTACGGAAACCGACTTCTGTGCTGCTTCGTGCAGCCAACAACAGAGCAGGGGGTTGTAGACAGGCTGGGGATGCATATTATTGTTGGAAAACCATTCTAAAGTGAATTTTGCATAATATGGGACCTTTTATGTTAGCAGGATCTGCAACTTCTTTGCTCTCCAAAACTTTGTTAACCATTGATCTGAGGTAAACATGCTCTCAAACAAACATCAGTATGCAGATGACACTCAGATTTACCTTCATCTTTGACAAAGTGTCTCCTCTGAGTTTTTCAAGTACACCAAGTAAATGGGTGATTAATTAAGGCTAAGGTACTTGAGTTTGACAAAAGCAGGCTCTAATGATGACTGATTTATTTATTTACAAGATCGGCAGAAACAGCTGTGTGAATAAAGATACATCAAGGTCCACCTATTAAAAAAAAGAAGTCTTTCTGTGAGTCTGATTCAGGTTTCAGTGCCTCATCTTCTCCTCTACACAAAAGCTAAAAACAAACTGCCTTTTCTCAGATTTCTGGCAGGTTTCCTTGCTTTTCAGTTTTCAATATGCACAAAAAAACAGGTGGAGAAAAACGCACTGAATCCACCTTTGTGTTTTCTTATAATAACAAATGACTGGCTTTCACACGTACTTTCTTCTTCTCCCTTTGTTTCCATCTCACCAGCGTGCTCTTTTTCTGCATCCTCTTTCCAAGTCCGGCTCGGTAAACAACTTTTATTGGCGTAGGTATTTCCTCCGTAAACAACCCTTCCAGAAGCACTCAAAATCGAAATAGTGGATTGCAGAAAGGAAAAAAAAATATATTTTCACCAACTTCAGACTCCTTATTTTTTGGCAGAGACAGAACGAGTGAGCGAGCGGGGAGAGGGACGGATGGAGGGAGAATCTGCGGTGTCTCTGGCTGTCCGATTCAGCTGAGGAGGTTTTAATGAGCATCCGGTGAAGGCCTGCTTAACAGGGGGAGGGGGTGAGACAATGAAGGAGGACGGGTAGCAGGATGAAAGCTTTAATAGTTTGGGAGTTGTGTCAATTGAGATGCTGATGATGAGAGGGATTGGTCAAGCAGAGATGACATGACGCGGGGGATGAGAGGGGATGGAGACAGTCTTTGACTTCTCACATCGCCCACACAGCCACATCAACTGGAGCCTTAGACAGACCACCAATATATCCTGCCACACTGAAAGTCTGAGGCTGAGCTCCTCACTTTGAAGGAGGAGATGTGATTGTGAAACTTTAATCACACAAGGAACAAAGAGTGCATCAAAATATCAGCATCACGAGGTGTGGTGGTAAATAAGCCGACAACTCTTCAGTCTGATGGGTGCAGAGCTGTGTGAGGCAACTCTGCTGTCGTTTGCAACTGATTTCATGAATGGAAACACTGCAGACAGCACAGTGTAATCACCAGGTCTGACCACTCAGATAAGCAGCTGTAGATTTCTCAACATGTGGTCCAGCTGTCATCAAACAGCTGCAGAGATCGAATGGACTGCAGGTGACAATGCAAACACTGAATCCATCAGGGAAGGAGCACAAATACTGTAAACAAAAAAAAACATTTCTTTTAGCATGGCAGGATCACATTTAAAGTTACTTCATGCACTGGGCAACTTTTGCTTGACGTTTTGTCACAAATCCTTTGAGCATCAAGATTTCCCTGATGTCTTGACGTTGCATCAGAATCCAGACTCCATTCAGAAACCAACCATTTGCAAAGTTGTTTGCTGTCTTGTCCTGCAGACAGACTTGACAGAGCATGAATTCAGTCTTTTTTTAAACAAATCTGCATTGTGATTGAGTTTTTTCAGCAGACATTTTTGTTTTAAAGCTACAGGTGTTGTTTGCTTGATTTAAAACATTACATTAATACTTAAAGCTTTTATGAGCTGTTAAATAAAAAAAAAGCAATGCTTGTCAAGATACATTATTTATATTTTACAGTTAATGCCTGAAAGTGCTGCCGCAGGGTAGATACTAGGTAAAGTGATCGATAACGCACAATGAAATAGTCTTAATTCAGATTTTCCACATCTTAACTTCTTAATCCATTTGAAATACAGAAGGAATCATTTAAAAGTTAAGACGCTGAGGGCTCCAGTTTGTCCATGTGAATGCCAAAGTTGATAAAAGTTCAAGTGCTTTGAACCACACACAAGATCCAGTTCTCTTTGCTTCAGTTTTGGCTGGTTTTGGCTGACTTTGTCACCTGCAGTGACGCATTGTGTTGGTTGTTCGTGTGCAGAAGAGAGATCAATCCAATGTGTCATCAAAGCAGCTTAAACAGCTAAAACGCATTCATTCTAGTTGGGGTCATTTTTGACCCCACTCATGGAAAAGTGTTGGTATTGGTCGGCCGTGCATCTAAGGGTTAAAACCCTCGTAGCACTTAAATTAAAAAAGTGAGAACTAAATGCAAGGTGTCCATTAAAGAAATAATGGCAAATTTTTGCCTGTGCTGATGGAGCCAGATTCATGACAGCTCCTCTTCCTTGTCTTACAGCTCTCATATCAATCATAACTGTAACATTTATAAATATTGCATATTTATGATGATGTAAATCATGATTTGTATGTACTTACCTTAAGAACATTTTTTATGCTCTTTTAAATGGAGTGAATTCAGGCCTCAGTTTGACATTTTTCTGTGTTTCTGACCAACATTAGCTCAGCCTGCAGGTTCAATCAGGTGAGACGTGCTGCTAACAGTAGTGGCCTGGACAGTAAAATGAGTTATCATGCAGCTCACATCCTGAGGTCATCGTGCAAGCAACATAGTTCCTGTGTTGGCCGTGGAAACACAACACAGATCCCTGTTTACTGTCCAAAAAAGTACTGACCTGAAGTGACCAGAATCAGAAATTAGCAGAAACACCACATGTGAAATATGTTAGATAATGATAGAGGGGAGGGGTTTCTCTCTAAAATTTATTATACATTTTATTTTCCATTCGAGCTCTTCAAAATTGAAATTTTCAATTCAACAAATAGGAGTGCACACTTTTCAGAAAAATCCACACATTGCATGTTAACCTGTTAATGAAGGTTTTTTCAAAGTGGGTGGAGGTAGTGGTCTTTTCAATCCCTGTGTGTCGTCATAAAGTCGTGTTCATTGCAGATGGTTAATAAAAAAAATATATAATCAATAGACGGGAGATTCAGTGTAGTGTTCAAAGTGACTCATGGCAGACGTGCTCCACTTCCTGATGAATCACAGAAGAAATGTTGATGCAGTTCTTTATTCTTTTGTTCACCTTGAATCCTTGTACCACCTCCACACTCTCAGAGAAGTTTTGGAAGTTTGACTTTTACTAAATGTTCGACTTGTTCTGAATAAATACAGCTGTGTGCCACTTGCATGATTTCCGCCTGCTCATCATCCGAACACCCCACGCTGACTTCGCTCGCTTCTTTCAGAGATGAGCCGCGGTGTCCCGCCCCTTCAGCGACTCTCGCCTTTTCACCATCATGTCCTGTTCTCCTCCTCCTCCTCCGGTGTTCAGATGTACAGCCGGTGTATAACTCATGTCTCTCGGATGACTAAACTCGCAGCCATCACATTCTGCTGAATGAATGGTGAAATATAGGGCAGTGGAGGAGTGGAGCATTCATCCGAGTGCTTTCACCCTCGACGCTGTGAGCGCACTCGCAGAGAGACGACTTTTTCTTCCGCCAAAAGTGCTCTCTGCACTTGCAAACTGAACGCTCATCAACTTTAGATGAATAAGCTTTGGTGACTGCAGTGGGTCTCGCAGCAGGTGTAGAGGAAGAAACAAAAAAGCAGAAGGAGGAAGCACAACAAGGTGGTGGCAGGCGGAGCACCTTGGAGGCATATCTAGATGAAGTAAAGAAATTGGTGTTATGGAGCTGCGACGCTCGCAGTCCGACTCCCTGCCTGCTGCTCAGCTCAGCTCTGAAGTATTCATTTGTTTCTCAACCTTATCATACCTCTGTTTCCCAGCCAGGTGAACACACACAGAGGCAGAGCAAAGGTGCACACGACACCTCCAGAAACAAACTCAGGGAGAAAAATAAAGCTTTCCTCCAGAAAACAAACAAAACTGCTCTGAGTTTTCCCAGACTGCACCGCTGCTCTGTTGGTTCTTTTTTCATGAGACCGCTATGCTTTAAATTCATCCTCTCCAGCACACACAGACACACCGAAACCCAATGACCCCTCAACCTTAATCACGCTGCACAATCCCAACACACACACACACACACCCCGGCCCAGCCAATCCCCCATTTAACACTCACACACAGCCTCAGGGGCCTCAAACCCAATTAGCCAGGAATGTGAGCTACATATGCGGTAATGGTGGCACTGTGTCATTGTCAGCTGTGTTAGCGCTGGACAAACACAGCAAACAGGCCAACAGAGCTGCAGGATGGCGCTAAATACTCCAGACCACAAAGAGAGGCCACGCTCGGTTTAACGGCCAAACTTACAACAGAGGGGGAAGTTGGATTGTTAGTGTCTGCGGCTTTGACTTTGTTTCTTCGTTTTCTCTCCTGCTTGACTTTGCTCACAGAGGCTGCTTTGGCTCACTGTATCACAAAGATTTGCTCATTAGGACTCGGCAGTGAACAATGAGCCGGGCAGAGGAAAACATGGCTGCCCCTGAAGGCTGTTTTAGTAAACGGCCATGGACAGGAGACAATGTTGAGAAGAAAGCATGCTCTACATGTATCTCATGATTTGAGGCATATGTTGCTAATTGCTGCTGTTGAGTGCATCAAAGATGGACTTTCTGAATAAGAGTTTTGAAGCCTGTAGATGGCAACCACTGCGCTGAAAATGTTGGCTTTGCCTCTTGTTTGGTGGACTAAATGTTAGGTTTAGATTTGACGTTTAGACTCCTCACTAACTGCTAGAGTGTGCCAGCCAAAACCCTTACCCTATCATTTTACAAAAAAACGAATAAATAACACTAATAATCCTTGAAAATAAATCACCCCACACTTTGTGCAAAAAGAGAAATGAGGCATGCAGACCAGGTGGTAAACATGGTTAATTTTGCTGTAAATTTGTGCTGTTTTGAATGGGTGTGTATGTAGTTTCGAATGTTCCTGAAATAGCAGCTAGTGGACACTAGAGGAACTGCAGTTTTTAACAATTTTGCTTTGCCTCATTTCTGAAGCCCAGAGGTTGCTGCGTGATTACAAACATACTTCATATGACTTCTAACTTACATTTTTGATGTTTTGAGATGTTTCATTCCTGAATGGTAAGTGGCAATGGCAATTTCAGCCTTTACCTAATTTGTTTATGTTTTGCTCTTGTGTTTTTATTGCTCTTACGTTTTTATGATTGCTTTCGCACCATTCTGTATTATTTTGGCTTGGAAATAGACCTGGGTACTGTACAAACTGTAAAAGATTTTGGGTATGACAAATAAAGTTCCTTGAATCCAAAACACCACAATGTATTTTTCTGATCATTTTATGTCAAAGTAAGTAATGGGGAAGATTCACTTTCTTTTTCGTTTCTTCATGGCTAAGAAAGAGCTATGAATCCATACTTTACTTTTAAACCTAGATTTTAATTTCTCATGTACCCACATTGGTTATCCTGTAGTTATTTCTACAAGGTTTTGCAAATCTAGAAGTATTTAAACTTTCACAGAAATACCTGAAAACTTTTATAAAAAATAAACCACTACAGCTTTTTTATCATTTCACCAAATTTTATGTCTCAGTTGAAGCTTTACAGCTTTTTCAA